TCCAGGCAGTTATTGATGAGATAACAGGAGAAAAGATAAGAAGTTCAAACTATAGGTAGCAAAGCATATTTTTTTTCTTTATATCTCACTGCAGAGCTTATCAGTACAGCATAGAGACAACTGAGCTAGCTGCAGCTCTCTGCAAAATACAAACTCTTCCCAGCAGTATGTTCTCATACCTTTCAGAAGTAGAAAGGGAGATAGCAATCTCCAAATGCTGCACCAGAGCAGCTGAGGAGACTGAACAGAGCTGCACCACACACCACGGTGCAAACCGAGAAGCAGCAACGGGACATGAAAGCAAGGCCAATTCTATTTGCTTGTCCTAGTGATTTGCCAGGTTAACCTCCCTCCATGGTAAAAGCTCATTCAATTTCTCAGCCTTCCACGTTACTTTCTGCCATGAATTCTATTTAAGCATCTCTGAACACAGCAAGCTAAAATCCGTAGACAATTTAAGCCAAAAACCCTCTGACTGTAGACAGCTCTTTGAAGTTTGTGGAGATCAAGAAAACCAGCCACCACAGAAAAGCTGCTTTTTAATTAAACATCTTTTCTCCTGATTAGAAACAAGTTTTAAAGCCTCGGTCTCTGCACTGTTAGGAATCCTTAAGAAGGCATCCTAAGGCTAGGGTGAGAGGCATTTAAATATACATGTACGCACAGAAGCCTGTTGCCCCGAGAAGAACAGCTGACCTCAGCGAACCATGCCTTGCTCTGTGTGCCCAGCACTCCTCCTATGCCCCAGCACTCAGAGGGCACGAGCATCCTTCGTCAGCCATGATCTTCACCCTCTGTAATTGACCTAGGGCTACCAAACAAGTAGCTACAGCTCAGCTTTGCAACAGGGCTTATTCTGCAGTTGAACAAACCGCACAAAGATTGTGTTTTACACCATCCGTGGTGTACTTCTCAGGTAAAGGATGTTGCGAGCGCTGTTACGGGAATGCATGCACACAGGGAATGGGGAAGGTGGAACAGGAGAGGGCTTACAATGCAGAAGCAGCAGAAGAGGAGAAAGGCAAACACTGATTACTGTGGGGTTTTATTACCCAAAACTTTATAACCTTTTGGAAACACAACGTTTTAAATTAAAATAGGAACTGGTCATAAATTACTTTCAAATACTTTTACTCTGAAATTGTTTTATCTCATGAGTGCTTATGTTTAGCAACCCCCATTATGAAATACTATTTTTCATCCTTTCTTTCTCTTAAGCAGTCCTGCTAGCACTTCACAAGAACTATTAAATTACACTTGCTAGACTAATAGCAGGCCATATCCAATAAAGTCTTTTCATTCCAAATTCAGTCTCTCTTTCTCCAGAAGTCTTCCCCCTCCCCATCCTTGGGGATGAAGATTAAAGAAAGCAATACTGTCATAACAATTAGACTGAAGTGACTTTTCCAAAATGTAATAGCATGGTGTCTCCAGGAAGCAGTATTCATTTCTTTTATAGGCCAAACTTTATTTAATATCAGTGGTTCCCTAGCGATTTTCAACAGGAAGCAATAGTAGATTTATTCCCAAAAACATTGATTCAATTTTCTTCAGCTCTGAAAAGCATTCTTTGCTTATCACTGAAAATGTGTGGTTGCTAGATTGCTTAAAACTGGGCAATTCAGGGAAAAAAAACAAACCAACACACTAGGTTCCAGTTTCCCTGAAGCTGTGTAGAATGCAAGTTCAGGTTCTATCCCACCTCTCCAAGTTTCCAAATCTCCTCTCTCTTGTGTTGATTTCCCACTGGAAAGACCTTGTATACCATTCTCAATTTTTCTCATATTCCTATATAAAGAGTTTTGTAATTTACTTTAGCCAATTTAGAGTAGTAGGTTCTCACTACATGTAATCCTTCAGGTTTTATAAGTCTCATTCAATATATTGCAACAATATGGATTTTATTTCTGCTCATATGTCATGCATAACATTATTCCCTCTTGTAAAGCCCAATAAACTCATTTATTTGGGATCTATTCCCAGAGATAAAAACCCTATCTATTTACCTCTATTAGTATTCAGCCCTGCAGGATCTGAACTATCCTGTTTTATATAAACAAATTTTTATTTTTGTTTTTATCGTTAATACTACTTATGCACTATGGCTCAATAATACTGTGTTTTTAACATCAAAGGGAAAGTCAAAGTAACACACAAGGCACAATGGACTTATTTTCTAACATTTGTAGTGAGCAACAAGCATCAGCATAGGACTACTCTGCAAATTTGTAAGCTATGAGTCTTCTCTCTTGCTTTACTTACTCCCACTTCATGTATTTCTATGAGTTTAGCAAAGGTAACATTTCTGAACAACAGAGGTAGAGACCGTACCTTAAACAACTTCAAAAATACCTTTCTGAACTATTTTCCAATGGACTCATACCCATTGTTAAGTTAGCACGTAAGTTAAGAGAGTATCAAAGCCAACAAAACAGAAGAATAAAGGAAGACAGTAATTCGTGTAAAGTGATATTAAAGATCAAATACTTTTCCAAATGACAGGTCTCCAAATATTTTTTCCCCCCTTAAGAACCACGAGTATCTTTTCAGAAACATTACAACTCAAACAGAAATTAGGGAGGGGATGTATGAGCATAGAAGCCCAAACCAAGGACAGGTCAGCTCACTCATTTTAATCGAAGGCCTTCTCATCCCCACCCCGCATTATTTTTTAAATGATATTGTGATTCTTGTAGTTCCAAATGAGAACAGTTAGCCACTCTTAAGCATTAAAGAAACTAAAAAAACACCCCAAAACTTAAGTATGTAAAAAAAGGTAGGTAAATACAAGTCCAAGGTCACACTGAAATGATTAACTTCAGATTACTGAGCATTTGAAAAAATTCTAGGAAATAGTTCTCTATCTGCAGTGGTTTCTTTAAAATCTTTTTTAAAAAAAAAATCCCAAAAGAATATTAAGAACCTTCTGTCATCAGAATGACTTTGATTAAATTAATCACTATCATGAAAGCTGTTAAGATATTTAAACTATTTTAAGACACCAAAGCCTTAGGGTATTCAGGTTCATTTAAAGTGCATTAGTAATAAAGCAGTTTAACATCATTGCACACTATATTCCCAAATCCTGATATGAAACCCTGCGCAACATATTGCAAGCAGACAAAAAGCATATCCATTTGCCTTTATAAAGGCCTCAAGCAGTAATTCAAGCATAGAGATAAAGACCAGAGACTACAGCAGCAGAGCACATTTGCTTCATCTGTTTTTGATTAGGCTGTCTTCTCCCTGTTTATCTGGAGGGCTTATACAGGAAACTTCAGTTTTTAAAGACCACTACCCTACTTTAAAGTTAAACAAAATCAAAATTAAAAACCCACACAACTCCTGCTCAAATAATAAGTAGTGTGCTGGCAATTTGTAGTTTCAGTAAAACACTAGTTTGGTCTACACTTCAAGTTTTTGGAGTAGTAACACTCCAGAGAAGCCAGAGAGTTCACTGATATGATTAGCAAAACTGACACTTCAGACTGCTGTAAGTCACTTACCTTTCACAAAGCCCATACAGATCACAAATACTCTTATATTGTTTCTGAAATCTTCACAATACAATTCTTGACAAAAATGAAGTTGCAAGGGAAATGGCAAATCTTACCTTAGTGACACTAAAATTCACAGCAACAATTATGCGCTGATGTGACATAAGAAGTTCCTGTAGCAGTATCTGTCTTTCCTTCACATAAAGTATGAGATAATTTTTTAAAGTTACTTAGGCAAAAAAAAAAAAAAAAAATTTTCACTCATTAGAAGCATTGTAGGTGATTCTAAGATACTGATTACAGACAAAGAGAAGTATTGCAATAGCTTCTTGGAGCTTCTTCCAGCATAATGACAGCGACAGGAGTGGGAAGGAAGTGAGAAAAGCAAATACTTCAAAAGCATTTCCCAGACACTTATGGCAGAAGAGTCAGCTCTATCACTTGTGGCACTACTTTTCACCCTTGAACAAAAACACCTCTGCAAAACGTACAGAATTCAGAGCAGAAGACAAGTCACATCTCAAGTATATGCCATTTCAGCCTTTTCTAATTAGAGTTTCACTTGTTTAATTTTGGTATGAATCAACATGACTAGAACAGATAAAACAAGATGTTGAGTTTCAAATTTATCCGTTCCAGTACATGCACCAAATTCTATTGTCCCTCTCACAAAGTACTCAATATCCTGTTCTTCACAACAAATTCTTCAAACTGTTAGAAATTGTGCACTTCAGGAATATAGTTAATTGCCAAATTCTAGTGAATTTAAAAATTCTTTCTCTTGAAACACACAAAGCAATTACCAGTTAACCTCTCCCAATGCTTTCACGTTCATTTCACTCCACACCCAAAAACACTCACTCTTCAGTGGCCACCTCAGCCATACAGTTCCCAGGCCACAATCACCATTTCAGCATCTGGCACCTTCCACAGATGCTATCAGGGCAAGGAGGGCCTGAGTCCTCCCAAAGCATCCTGCTACCTCTGTATGGCTCTGAGGAGGAGAAGCTGCAGTCCTCAGCCAGTGCCTAGCTGGTGATGTCCCTCCTCCCTTGCAAGGAAGGCACCAGATAAATAAGGCCAAATTGCTTTTTCTTTAATGAAATCAAGACTAGAAGGACCATCCATAGAGTTCAGTTCCTTGAAGAAAGAAGGTATATCTGATCCCACGGATGACTGCATGCCAGTACACCTCAAAAAACCCTTACGCCACCAAACTAAGTCAGCAACATAAATACACTATTCCTGAAATTTTCAAGAAATGGGTCATTTTCAGGTTGTGCTTGACCCACCTATCAGCACCACACGAAGGCAGAGCCTCAAAGACGAGCTCACTTCACTGACAACCGGGGAACGCCTGTGGAAGAGACTTTATGGAAACTCCACGTGGAGCTGACACCTCCCCTAAAGAATTTGGCCCAGAGGCAGATGCCGGGGGTCAAGGTGCCATCAGCTCTGCAGCTGCAAGACCTCCAGGTGACATTACACAGACCCCACACTCACCAGTCAGAGCTCCTCCAAGGCTTCCTCTTCTGAGCCATCTGCCATCTTCACTCAGCTGCCTCTTAAATTTAGAAGAATTTCCAGGGCCAGAAGAGACTTCAGGACCACTGGATTTTTGAAAAGGCATAGGTGGGGGGGACAATATATGATCAAGCTGCAAAGAAACAGAAAAAAAAA